GAATACAGCAGCCTCTTCATCTTGGCCATGCTGTGCAAGACAGCCAAAAGGGCAGAGATTGGGGGGAAATAGGCAGGTGGGGGGAAGTGAATTGGAAGCAGTTTGCTAGGGTAGAAATGTGAGGTCCTCACCTAACAACTGCAACCGAGACTGCCATTGCTAAGTGGTGGGGTCATATGATGTTTCGTTTAATGACCGCTTTGCTTACTGACAGAAATCCCAGTCCTAATTAGAGACATAACCCACGGACTACCTGTATTGTTCTTGCCCTGCAATTGGGTCTTGAATAATCTAACCATTTCAATCTGAAATTTCCTGAAACTGAAATTTCTACTGGCAAGCTTGTAGCAGTAGAAACAAGGGGAACACAAGGGCTTGGATTTTTTAAAGTTCTTTTGTCATAGAATTATCTTGCTTTGAGAGTAAACACCAAAGAGGCCTTGGTCTACACTTTGTAACTGGAGTACATCCAAGTCAGAATTGTCTAGAAGGGCTGCAGTGCATGAAATTATCTTCAGTTTTCTTTCCATATCTGCCATTTCCTCAGGCTACAAATAACTATTACCTAACTATTACCCTAACTATTACCACAACTGCTGCTTACTGATTCTGCTGTGGCCATGAGACGCAACTTGCTGATCCTACTATTGACATGAGGCGCATCCTACCTTTATAAAAGGGGAGAGTGTTGGCATAAAGTGCAGATTTCTAGGCCTTTGTGCTCTCCTTCTGGCCCATTCAGGTCTCTCACAGTACCTGTAAATTCTGGACACCGCTGATTTATGGCTTGTGCTTTTGTGCTACTTTGGAGTTCCAACATGTTTGATGTTTCCTACCATAAAAAATGGTAAAAGAGGAAGCAAAGGAGGTAGAAAGATAGAAGGTAGAAAAGTTTTTTTTCCCCTGTCAAGACAGGACTTACAGAAATTCAAGTTGCCCCTAATAATTCTCCCTTACTACACTGATCTGAGCCAAGAGACAGGATGGCTCCTTCCTCTGGAAACTTTCAAGATTGTATACTGCCTGTACTTCAGGAAGAACTGCCACTCCAAGTTGAAAAATGCCTTCCATGTGACTCAGGAGAATGGTATCTTTCAAACTGCTGCAAAGGTAACCAAATCTAA